TAATAAACTTCTCTTTCCTTCTCCTCAAACCACTTGTCCTCATTCTTCTGATGGGGCCTCAGAAATAAGTGCTGAGCTTCCAGTAACATAGTTACACTGAAAATACTGAGAAAATAGGTAGAAGTTTTGTTATATTATGGCAATGGGAAAGAAAATTATCACTGTGGAACTCCTGACCTCATAGTAGAATTATTTTTATTATCTCACTTAATCTCTTTAGTCTTCACAACAATGCTGCAGGGTAAGATTATTAAGTGAGAAAACCAAGACTCAGTGGTTCTGGCTGGGCATAGTGGCTCATACCTTTAATCTCCCAGCATTTTGGGAGGCCACTCTGGGAGGGAGGCCATGATGGGAGGATCGCTTGAAGCCCGGAATTTGAGACCAGCCTGGGCAACATTGTGAGACCCCATTTCTATAAAAATTAAATAATAAAAAAAAAATACTCAATGGTTTAGTGACTTGCCTAGAATCCCACAGCTAGTGTGGAGCTGGAATTGAAACCTAGGTTTGACTGCAAAGATTAACTTTTTTCCTCTTACAAATTCTCAGATGGTGCTGATGCTGCTGGTCTGAGGTCCCTGTTTTGAGAAACACTATGCAAAATTAGGCTGTATTTATTATCCATTACTTATGTTCTGTGTTCTTTTATGTGATGGTCAGTCTGGTGTGGCTGCAAGAGGAGACACAGGAGAAGCACAAGAAAACAAAGTTGCTTATACTCACAAGTCCTAGAGAGGGTTTGTGATTCACAATCACAGGGGAAGTGACAGGTTTGGGTCAGGTGGCAAAAGCTGTAGAAAACTGAGGTTAAAGCCTGTATTGGGGTTTTGTAGAAAGGCAAGGCAGGGCAGGGTAAACAGTTTAGGACTGGCCAGTATGAATAACCTCAGTGGGCTCTAAGGTATAGAGTGGTCCCTAGTTGCCTGGTATCTGAACCTGGGATGATTAAGATACAGGAATATTACCTACTGGGGTGTATGGAACAGATGGAGGAAGGGATTACTCTGGAGTGGTATATCAAAGGCATGCTCCCAGCTGAGTTCCTTGCTATCCTTTAGAATTGGTTAGCCCAGGGAGGGACAGCCTCATCCCAGCAAACAGTTTTTTAAGATGTCAAAACATCATAATATACAGACAATAATAAATATATACAATATAATCAATAATATTATATTTAGTGTTGGGTTTGGAAACCCAGCATATACTGGCTAGGGAACAACCCAGGTTGCCCTTCTTGAAACACACACCCCTCTTAAAACAGGGGGATTGTCCTGAAAAAGGGTAAAAATGTTTTCTCTCTAAAACATCCCCCACTTCTTTTGGAAATTAAAACCTATATCCCTGCTCCAGGCCAGTAGTTAGGAGGGGCAGGGGAGTGCTCATGGAAGACTCTCCAGGATGGACCATATGCTAAGCCATAAAATAAAACTCAGTAAATTTAATAGGATAGAAATAATGCAAAGTAATATTTTCCAACAAGAATGGATTAAAATTAGAAATCAATACCAGAAACAGTTTGGAGAAATTCACAAATATGTTGAATTAAAACAACACACTCCTAAATACCAAAAAATCAAAGAAGAAATCAAAAGGGAAACTAGAAAATACTTTGAATGAATGAAAATGAGGCACAACATACCAAAACTTATGTGATACAGGTAAAGCAGTGCTTACAAGGAAATTTATAGTTTAAAGTGCCTATATTAAAAAAGAAGAGGGCTGGGTACAATGGCTCATGCCTGTAATCCTAGCACTTTAGGAGTTTAAGAAGGGAGAATCACTTGAGGTCAGGAGTTCAAGACCATCTTGAGCAAAAGTGAGACCTTATCTCTACAGAAAACAGATTAGCCTGGTACCTTAAGACACTAGAAAACCAAGAGCAAACTAAATCTTAAATAAGCGTAAAGAAGGAAATAGTAAAGATTATGGAGGAAATTAATGAAATAGAGAATAGAAAAATAATACAAAAAATAAATGAAAACAAAAGCTAGACCTTTGAAAATATCAACAAAAATGACAAATCTTTAGCTAGATTGACCACGAAAGAAAGAGAAAAGACTCATTTTACAGAATCAGTAATGAAATAGGGGGCATTATTGCTGACTTTATAGAAATAAAAAGAATTATAAAGGAATACTATGAACAATTATATGCCAATAAAGTAGATAATTTATATGAAATGGATAAATTCCTATAAAAACACAAACTGCCATACTGACTCAAGAAAAAACAAACAATCTGAATATAACCAAAACAAACAGAGATTGAATTAGTAAGAAAAAAAATCCTACTAATAAAAATAAGCAAAGCCCAGATGGCTTCACTGGTGAATTATACCAAATATTTAGAGAAGAAATAATGCCAATACTTCACAAACTCTTCCAAAATATAGAATAGGAGGGAACACTTATTTCATATTATGACGCCAATACTTCCCTGATAACAGAACTAAAAATATCAGACACACAAAAAACTACAAACCAATATCTTCGTGAATATGGGTGTAAAATTTTTCAACACAATGTTAGCAAACTAGATTCAACAACATATAAAAAGAATTGTACACTATGACCAAGGAGGATATATCCCAGGAACATGAGTATGGTTTAATATCTGAAAATCAATAAATGTAATGCACCATATCAATACAATAAAAACCAAAAACCACATAGTCATCTGAAATAGATGTAGAGAATGCATTGACAAAATCCAACACGATTTCATATAAAAACACTTAACAAATTAGGAATAGAAGAGAATTTCTCTAACCTGCTAAACAGTACCTATGAAAACCCATAGCTAGCAGTATACTTACTGGTAAAAGATGGGATGCCCTTTCCCTAAGATCAGAAGCAGGGGAATGGGGAGATGTTGGACAAAGAGTACAAACGTTCAGTTATAAGATGAATAAGTTCCAGGGATCTTATGTATAACATAGTGACTAGAGTTAAGAATACTGTATTGTATACTTAAAATTCCCTGTGAGTAAATCTTGTATTCTCATCACACACACAATAGCAGCTATGTAAGGTGATGGATGTGTTAATTAACTTGATTGTGTCACATATGCATATGTATATCAAATCATCATGCTATACATCTTGAAAATATATATAATTTTTATTTGTTAATTATACCTCATTAAAGCTGGGGGAAAAGAAAAAACACAATGATGTCCATTCTCAGTACTTCCTCAACATAATATTGGAGGTTCTAGCCAGGGAAATTAGGCAAGAAAAAAAGGCATCCAGATTGGAGCTGAAGAAGAAAAACTGTCTTTATTCACAGATGACATCATCTTGTATATAGAAAATTTTTAAAATCCACCATAAAAACTATTAGAGCTCATAAACTATCATAGCAAGCTTGCAGGATACAAGATCAAAATACGAAAATAAGTTGTATTTCTATACCCTAGCAATGAACAATCACAAAATGAAACTAAGAAATAGCCAAGGATGGTGGCTCATGCCTGTAATCCCAGCAGTTGGGGAGGCTGAGGTGGCGGGATTGCTTGAGCCCAGGCATTCAAGACTGCAGTGAACTATGATCATGCCACTGTACTCCAGGCTGGGTGAGAGAGAGAGAGAGAGAGAGAGAGAGAGAGAGAGAGAGAGAGAATGAGAATTCTGTTTACAATAATATCAAAAGAATAAAACACACAGGAATAAATTTAACAAAAGTATATTAGGTCTGGATCATAGGGGGAGACTTTAGCTGGATTATAGCTAGTATATAGTGAGGGTCAGGAGTGGGGTGTAAAAAAGGCTTGGACATAGGGAATCTCAGACCATTTTCCATTGCAGTGACAAAAATTGTCCAGATATTAAAATCAAAGGTCCCATTTTCAGACCACTATGAGCTATTGTCAAGTTTATATTATGGGCAAACTCTATTACAATAAAAGACAAGCCGTTTTCACCAGATTTTCAGTAAGACCTAATGTTTTGAGATTTTGGAGGAGACATCCCAAGGGGGTGGTTTTAGGAGGAATAGACTGGGAGTTTCCCATGTCCCTGGATAAAGTAAGAGTCACTCGAGACTGATTCCACTCAGTTTTAGGCACCCCCAAACGAGGGAAGAGCAGAGGAGAAGGCCACTGATTGGAACAGGCGTCCCTGGATCCAACAGTGCCTTAGGCCAAAAGGCTGGGGGGCAGGGTTTCTCTGGCCTACCAGTGGGACTTTTGAGCTGAGAAGTGAGAGTAAGAGAGAGAGATTGGAAGAATGCAAGAATGAATTTGTGAGCTCCTACTCACCAGGAACAGGATGTCTCCAGGATGTGGATTTGAAGCTCAGGGAAGAAAGACCTGTGGGACTTCCCAGGGGATGAAAGTGAAAGAGGTAGGAGGATCCCAAGGAGTTTGTGACCTTTAACTCCCAGAGGACGAAAGGTGAATTGTGAAGATCAGCAAAGGGAAGATCGAAGTCCCGGTCCCATGTCAGCCTCTCAGCTTGGTTCAGGAGGCTCTGGTTGACAATTACCTGACCTCAGGTGAGCTAAAACTCTCTGCCTACACTCCAGGATCAGAGACAAATTAGAGAGGGACCCCTGCATGGCTCGGGACTTCTCCCAGCAACCTCATCAGAGACAAGGGAGTTTCATGGCTCCAGGGGACATAATCTATCAAGGAGACTGGTTCCTCTCAATTTAGTCAAAGATCCATGGAAACCTTATTGGTGACCCAGGGATTCAAAGGAAGACAGGATTCAGGAGTGAGCCCAGGACGGGCTGCTACTGCCTACTGCTTCCCGAGCTGCAAGCCTTGTCTGCTAGAGTCCCAGAAGTCGTGTCCACCGGTGTTCCTCCTCCCCAACCCGGGTTTCAGCACCAAATGTTAAGTCCAGAGCCAAGAGGGAGACATACAAAGTCTCAGATGTAGTAAAATTTTCTTTATTTTGAGTATCTAGGTATAGATGGGTGCAGGCTGAAAAAAGTGTCAGCCCCAGGAAGGGGAGAGCGGTGGGTTTTATAGGTTTTTCTGGGTGAAGTAACTGGACCAGAATAGCTGCTTCTAATAATTTTTTTTTTAAATAAACAATTCCGGAGCGACAGCGACGCAAGATGGCAGCCACCACGGGCTCGGGAATAAAAGTCCTTCGCAATTTCCGACTGTTGGAAGAACTCGAAGAAGGCCAGAAAGGAGTAGGAGATGGCACAGTTAGCTGGGGTCTAGAAGATGACGAAGACATGACACTTGGACAGGGATGATAATTGGGCCTCCAAGAACAATTTATGAAAACCGAATATACAGCCTTAAAATAGAATGTGGACCTAAATACCCAGAAGCACCCCCCTTTGTAAGATTTGTAACAAAAATTAATATGAATGGAGTTAATAGTTCTAATGGAGTGGTGGATCCAAGAGCCATATCAGTGCTAGCAAAATGGCAGAATTCATATAGCATCAAAGTTGTCCTGCAAGAGCTTCGGCGCCTAATGATGTCTAAAGAAAATATGAAACTCCCTCAGCCACCTGAAGGACAGTGTTACAGCA